GTGTATAAATGCAAAAGAGATAAAAAACATTTGCCATGATTTTGGTAATAAAACCGGCCTGTTCTCCTGATGAACATCTGGATGAGTTTGCTGCTTTCTTAATCCTGGAGGAGAGACAAGGGTTTCTTGAACAAGTTTAACGACACACACACACCTGTTGTGTAGCTAATGATTCATTAAGCTTAGTCCTTCTAATTTCTGCAAGTCGCGTGAGTTCTGTCCAAGATGATTTTAAGTTGCTTGAATTCTCCAAGATAACACCAGTAGCAAAATGCCCACCGTTCACTAAACGTCTCGCTGTTTCGTTCGCCGATTGAACTAGTTGCTCATGCGTAGTCAACTCAGCTTCGAAAGCTTCATGCTTCTGCAGCAAGTTCTGTACACCTGAAAATAGGATTAAAAAATCATGACGGAAGCCAAGGCAAGAAATTAAGTGCGATTATAATAAATCAGCATGGCCAACTGTGATGGCTAGAGTGTCCTGGCACAAAGGGATGTATACACTCTAAATACTAGAATGAATTGATAAAGAACGAACCATTCAAGTTGTGACCGTAATCTTCAGAATTAACCAATGGTTCTTTTTCTCGAATCCAGTCCATCTCCTCGCGTGCATCATTTATAAATTGAAACAACACAAGGCCTTCTTCAAGCATCTGTTTTCGTGCAGCCGTTGGCTCAGAAAGTTGTTCAAACCTTTGAATAAATCACGAAATCTTTAAACATTATTGATTAGGCAATTGGCTTAGTACATACATGGAAGAAATAAACCACAATAAATTACTTAAAATCAAACAAAAAAAAGGAGCATCAGTAGCAATAAAGTKATTGTCCAGCATTTTCAGCATTATTTTGTTTCAATGTTGATCACAAACCTCTCAGCCACATCAGATGCTCTTTCTGCAATTTCCTCTTTCTGGAAGTGATCAGCTTCYTGAAAAGCATTTGCCTGGTCTAGGATCTCGTTAACACGGTCTTCATGACTCAGGATATCCTCCTCTGTTAGTCTATGTTTCTTTATCAAATTTCCCACAGATCTCAAGTCTCGTCCATAGTCCTTTGAAGAGAGAGCTCCATAGATTTCATCCATCCATGTATCTAACTCTGTTACGCTACGATCAAATGTTTGCTTTTGGATGGCCTCTTTAAGCCTTTGCGCTTTATTTGCTGAAAGGTCTTCGAGGAGTTTCCAAAGATCAGTAAGATCCTTTTGTCGTTTTTCTACTGTTTCACGATGAGTATTGAGTAGTGAATCACCATCTTTGATTACGCTATCAAGCTGTCCTTTATTTGCGGTTACTTCGGCTTGAAATGTTTCATGCTTTTGAAGCTTGAGCTGCAGGTTAGAAGCTTCTCTATAAGATGCCTCGGCTGCGGTCTGCAACTTTTCGTTAATCCAGGATTCCATCTAATGAAGTATAAAGATTTATCRATCACTCAGTTATGTTGTTATGATGGAKAAAATTTTGTCCGCGTACACAARAATCTTAAGTGRGCTGGAATAGTTATCRTTACCTCATCTGCGTCCCTTAGAAATTGGAAGAGTAGTTTCGATTCACCGAGTTTTTCGCTTTTAGATGCTAATAAACKTTTAAGTTTTTCCCACTTTTCTAAGACCTCCAATTGTCGACGTTTGATGATATCCATCTGGTAGTGTTTCTTATCTATRAGGTTATTTGCTGAATGGTTGAGGGTGTTGATTTTTTCCTCATACGCTGCGATAGACTTTTCAAAGTTGACTTGAGTTTTTAAAAGTGACTGCACTGTGTCAAGATTATCGTTTGAATCGTTGTGGATCATCATATTTTGCTTGTTTGTTATCCAGTTATCAGCTTGATCTGCACTGGCTAGAAATACCTATAATAATGGAAATACCAAGGTCAATGTTAATTGAAGTAAAAGAATACAAGAATACTTTGAAACTCATTGCGCACGCTCGGAAGACGTACGGTAACTTGCGGCAACTTAAGATTTTTGATGCGGATGTTTCTAGTCTTGCACAAAATCGCAAAAGTATAGTAAAATAGGGAAAACTCAAAAAATATGGAAAAGGATTCTTCAAAAGATCTCGTATGCCTGTGCTTGCATAATTCTTGGTGCAAGTCTTAGCCCTGTATCGTGTCTCTTCTTCCATCAACGGACTCTTAGGGAAGGAGCGCACATGGCGTCACGACTTTCATCCTACTCTTGGCTTGTTCAAATATTTTTATACTAGCCTGAAGCTCATAAGACTGTTCTAACAGCTTCTGTCGTTCTTGCCAGACGTTTTGAAGGTGTGAGCTCATTCCATTGAGGTTTCTGACATTGCCTTTGATCTCTGTCTCTGCAAAATGGTTCTGCTCAACTAAACTTAGTCCAAACGCATGCGTTGCTGTTATTGATTCTTGTCGGGCGTCGATTTCACTCTAAAATATCATACAGCATTGATTGATTTAAACAAAAAGTTTGATAAAGTATATATTAAATAGTATGGTGTAACATTAAAAAACTTTAAGAAAACTTTTCTAAGGCATGAGAGGAAACSCCATTTGACTGRTGTTACAGACCTTTCTCTCTTTGTGTAAATCTAGCAGTGCCTGAGCATCTTTCACATTGSTTGCCAGTTCCCCACTTGTTATTCGCGAATCGAGATCGTTCATCCATGACGTTAGGTCTCGGTAATCAACAAGGAATATTTGCAGCAATCGGTTGGCTTCAAGACRACCTTTCCTGAAAAGAAAGCCCAGTTAAAGYCATGCGCGAGGCAATGTTATCAGAAACTCATTTCCTCGTWACTCATTACTACAAACCTTTCGTCAAACTTGTCATTYAGCTGTTCCCAGCTTTCTATAATTTCAGTYTGTTTRGCCTGGACGATCCGTGCCATGTGAGGCTGAGAACGTACGAGTCGATGAGCCTCATTCTCGAGCATTTCCATTTTACCCTCGATCACAGTCAATGCTCGTTCAACGTCGTCATGTTTACGAATTAGAGCTTCGGTACTGGGAAGATCACGTCCAAGATCTTCAGTTGATAATATAACGTCCTGAGGAAAAATAAGTTGCTTTTGCTATATTTCGCAGATTGGGAAGACTGTAAGTAGTTATACAGTTTTAGCATCTTGAATTTACAGATTAAGGATTTTCCGCTTCAAGAAGATCTCTTGTAGAGGGAGGCTCATTCCACAGAAATGGTTAYAAAGGAGACGAAACAAATAGGAAAGTACAAGTTCTTATAAGGAGTTGGGCACCCCTGTATCCAATTAGAAAGACCCATCACTATCGTTTCACAGCATCGGGATCCATTAGTGTGTTCATTTGCTGATCCAAAACACAAAATTCCTGTTTTTGATTTGCCGAAAGAACAATTATGGCTCAATATATTGCTTTTGGATTGCTCATGTTTCTKAGAAAGGTTAACAATCGAAGAAATACCAAACTGACCATTTTAGGAGAACAGTCGCCTCACAGAAAAAGCAACCAACTTTAAATCGCTCTAACAGCTTATGAAAATCGTAATACTATACCTTCTCATTAATCATACCAGCCACCTCTTTACAACTACGGTCAAATGCATGGATCTCACAAGCCTCAGCTAACTTCTGCCTCCTCTCACTGGCTTTATCTTGAAGCGCATTCCATCTTTCATTCAGAGCTTGTTGTCGTTGATAAATAAGGGAGGATCCTGCATGTCCTTCATTGACCAGTTTGTCTGCCAGGCGATTGATAGTGGCAACTCGGTCTTCCTCCACGGCAAGGTCTTGATCAAATTCCTTCATTTTCTTTTGYAAGTGAATGCAGTGGTCGTAATCATTACCTACATCTTCTGATGAAACAATGGCTTCCTGGAATGTTATTCAATAAGAAATCAAATGAGAATGACCAGGAAGAGAAAGCTTATAGCGACGAGGAGGAAGACTTATGGTTACCGCAGTACGTAGGTAGCACTGGTTCACGTTTTATTCTTACAAGGTGCATATCTAAGGTAAAATCCAAGGTAAAAGACATCTCTCAATACCTTATCACTTATGCTTGAGTCGGCAATGTCCACTTCGATGTTGAACTTTTGATGATCTCTGGCCTCTTCCAGTTTTCTTYCCTTGTTGCTCGACGCCTCTAATAGTTCCTCCCAATGAATATACAGTGATTCGATACGCSATTCAACTTCATTTGCACTAAAATGACCCGAAGATATGAGCTCTTCTCCATTTCTCTGGACTGAGTCGATAACATCTTCATGAGCAGTGAGTTCTGCTTCAAACGTCTGATGCTTTTGTAGTTTACTTTCGAGGTTTGTTGGATCTCTGTATGATTCATCTTGAGCTGTTTGGAGCTTCTCAGTTATCCAGGATTCGGCCTATAGATCACRGTGAATGTTTGATTTGAGACAAAAGACAATGAAACAAAAGAGAAAATAAATATAGTACAAACACACATAAAACTCAAATATCGAAAAACCAAACAAAAGAGGGAAAAAAACGCAAACAACATACACACAACAAGTCAAAGTAATAAGAAATATATCAGTGAGTAACTAAACATGACATTGTACCTCGACCACATCTTGATAAAACARCACAATCTTTCTTGAATCCTCTAATTTGATTCGCCTGTCTCTCAAGTCGCTCTGCAATTTGTTTCGTCTTGAAGACAAAGCTTTCAGTCGTTCTCTGAWCGTGCGTTCATCGTCGTGACCATCGGAGATCATTTTGTTACCAAAAGCCSTAATAGYATTGAGTTTTTCATCTTGTGAAGAAATAAGCTTCTCAACGTTCTCGTGCTTTTTGAGTAGGAAGTCCACTTCATCTACACTGTCACCRAGGTCTGCTTTAACTAGAACAGCCTGCATTGCAAAATGTATAAAGATTCCAGTTAAGCGATTTGGTATATTATTTGCACTCTTTCTAATGCCTGCAGTTTTTTTGGTTTAACAAAGACAAAGACAGTTCAAACTTTGTTAACACAGGTTACTTAATAACGAGAACCATTCCAAAAACATAGTGTGTTGCAGACGTCGAAACGGAACAATAAGACAAAGAGCCTTTGATACACGACATACCTCTTGAGAGCTGAACACTGAATCCACTTGCCTAGCATCCCTAAGGAACACATGCAAGTAATATGCTTGGTTGACCTCAGACTTGCGATCRTCCCACGTAGCATATAGGCTCTCACGTTCCGTCAATAGTAGTTCTAGTTTCTCTGTTAACTATTGTAGGAAAAAATCGTTACAAATAGCAAGGAACATGGAATGGACACCAATAGGTGATCCCACCTGAATCATTTGAAACTACCTTAGTGACTGTGGAAACAAATACTACATAATGTACCTCTTCYGCAGCAAAATGTCCATCTTCTATCATCTTCTCCCCTGTCTCCAGTAMACGTGTAAACGTTTCTTCTCGAGCTTCCATGACCACATGATGCTCCTCCAGCTGACGCAACACAGCCTCGGCATCAGACACGTTGTGGATTGGCTCATCTGATGATACAGTGCGAGACATGTCAATGCACCAAGTGATTTGGTCACGTATCTGTGAAAAGGAMAACATCCATGATTTTAGAGTAAAGACTTTTAAAAAATCAGGCTGAATTTAAGGAACAAAGGAAACGAGATATTTGGTGAGAAATAACTTTGTTTGATTGTTCAAAAACTATTTTGAACAACCATTTTTCCATTTTTTAAGCTCATGCTCAGTTAAGGCTTCTGATTACATTTCCGATTCTCCTGGATAATGTMATTTTAAAAAGGAAGATTTACTCGGAMAACGCTTATTTAGACACATAAGTGAAACCCAATAAGAGGTTATTRCAGTTTTACAATCAAGGTGCTCATGATTCACAACGACTCACAGAGCTGTTAAGTTTGTGATACGCGATGCTGTCTTTTAATTTGTGCTGCTTTCTTGATGATTTTCGCTTCAAATCKGCCCACAGTGTTTTTACAAACTCTTCGTGCTTTTGAATGGTGTGAGCTGTCTGACCTATAAGAAWAATACATCAATCATAGAAGTCAAAGAGGAACTAAGAACTACAATGAAAACTAAAAAAAGTAAAGCAGAAAAAGTGTATACCAATCCCAAGACTTSCAATACTTTGCTGAACTAGGGTGTAAATTTACATACCTTGATAAGTGTTTTGAAGTCTCGTGGACTCGGCAAGCAAATCTTCAACTTGCTTTTCCACCGACATCAATTCCCTTTTAAAAACCTCATGTTTACGCTGAAGGGCCTCGGCACTAGCCAAGTCTCGCCCTAGATCATCTAATGTCAGGCTAGCGTCCTTTTCCTGAATTCGACTGATGAGCTCGTTCATATCTCGATTAAATCGATGAATCTCGGCGGCATTAGAGAGTCGCCTCTTTCTTAGGGCGATTTTTTCTTGCAGTTGGGCAAACATTGATCTGTGGAAAAGTAGGGTATAATCAAGCCAAATGACAAAAAGGGAAGAAAAGCAATATCTAATACACACTTTAAGATGTCTTGCTGCTCTTTGATCGTAACTGTRTCCGTGTGTCCCTCCGCGACAAGCTTTTTCGCGAGGTTGTCAACTGATCGATATGTGTCGGTGTTTGCTGCCACGCTGCGTTGGAAGTCTTCAAACTTCGTCTGAATAGTCTACCAAAACGAGAAGTCATWAGTGCATTTAGTGAACATAGGGAAAAAGAGTCGATTTATATATGATGACCACATCGCTATCAATATCAACCCCATTATCCATATCTTTTCTAACCTCGAGATGTTCGAAGTCTTTGCCATAGTCTTCCGAGCTTGCAGTGTGAATCTGCTCGTTGATCCATTCAGCGGCTTCATCCACTTCACGCAAATATTGGTGCARCTTTTTGGATTCCTCGAGCCTTGCAAGTCGTGTACTCACCAACGTTCGAAGGCCAGATAGCTGTTCCTCTAGATCTCGCTGTCAATTGAAATTGTATTATATTTATGATATTGACAACATCAAAGCGACACCATAATGAGTGGTAAGCAGTATACCATACCTGCGTTGACGCAACTTTCTTCGAATCGAAATGATGGTTGCGTACAAGTCTTTTAGCATCATTTGCTAGTCCTTTGATAACATCACTAAAYGATTCGACGTCGGTTTTTAAGGCTTTATGTCTTGTTAATAACTTATCAGTTGCTCTCTCTTCTTTGCCATAATCTTGACTTGCTGCTGAGCCTGCCTTGTCGTTCATCCATGAATCTGCTTCATTGGCTTCAGCAAAGTACTAAAAACAGTGCAATAAAAACATTCATTCAACTACAATTTGCTGGRTGGGACCTCGGGACAAACGTAACTACTACTAAGTCTAAACTTAATTAAGTTKCATGTTGATGCACCATGCTTGTTCACCCTCCAGACTGAACTATTTTGAATTTAATTGTCTAATGCAGTTTATTTTCTCATAATGAATGTCCCTTTTCTGTCTTACCTTTTGCGATTCGTGCGATTGCTGTAATTCTATTTTACGATTTGCAGATGCATCATTAAGGTTTTCCCAAGCAGTCTTTACCCCATCGATACGCTCTTCGACTACTTCTGATGCAGGGTGGCCAGAGTCTATTAAGTCTTGTCCACATGATAAAACCGATTGGATTTTAGGACCGTGGTTGGTAAGTTCATTTTCAAAGGCAACGTGGCGTTTCTGAAGACGCTGAACAGATACTAAATTGGAGCCTAAATCTTCTGACGACGCGAGACGCTCATGCTCTCGAATCCAAGACATTTCCATTTCAATGTCGTAAAGAAGTTGATTAAGTCCAAACGAATCCTCAAGGTGGGCTCGACGGTTGGATGAAAGATTCTTGAGATCTCGAAATCTAAACAAATGACAATATCACATGTMRATACTATAAGTCAATCAAGGTAATCCGMGTATCAGGACTGGGTGCCCTGGGGAAACGTTACCTTGATAAAACATCTTTAGCACTTTGCTCAATACTTTGAGAGTTAAAATGCTTATCCTCAACCAGTTCTTGGGCTTGGTTGGCGACCCTTTCCGCTTCTGTCGCGTGAACTTCGATATCTGCCTCAACAAGTTGGTGTTTTTTCAGTAGGAATTTTACTTCAGATAAGTCTCGCCCCATGTCCTCTGACGCAAGAACGGTTTCTACGTCATGCATMMATACTTTGAAATCTTCCATTACACGATTGAACTGCTGTTGTTGTTGCGCCTGTTCTAACTTGTGGCTTTTGTTAGCAGAATGAGTAGATAACTGGCGCCAATTCTCATTAAGTTCATCAAGTCGGTTTTGGATTTCTTTGGATCCAAAATGTTTGCTGTTGACAAGTTTTTTCCCATCCTACAAATATTGCGAAAGTTTACSATTAAATATTCAAATAAGCTATACATTTTTTACAATCGTTGCAAAATAGCAAATTATATYAAAGCTTGGGGCTCAAACTATATGTGGGTTGGCATAATTTATAATTGAATTTACTACTCAAGAACGGTATTTAAYATTTATAAAGATGAGGCAGACCCATTTAAGTGTTTTACCGCGTTTATTCGGTCGATTCCATCCTTGTTGGACGACAATTCAGCCTCAAATGCCTTGTGTCGCTGTAGTTTACCCAAAAGATTTATAGGATCTTGATACGACCCGTCTGTAGCTATCTTCATTTTTTCAAGGATCCATGCATCAAACTATAAAAAAAGTTAAATGTTACTTTTTTTACTAGCTTCCTTRCAGGCTTAATAGTGAACGTACCTCGTCAGCATCTCTGAGAAAGTTCTGAAGTATTTGAGACTGCACMAGGTCTTGTCGGCGCTGCTTTGCTCGTTTTTTCACGCTTTGACGTCGCTTAATGACCTCGTCTAATCGCTTGGCAATCCTTTTGTCAATAAAAATACATAAAATAGTAACAAAGYATGAGGCTTCTTATCCAGAAAAAAGGCCACCATCTATACTTGGCAAAGCCTTTTCATATAATGATTTGAAATGTAAATGTGATTTTTCTTTCACCAGGACAAAGATAAACAAAGACACTTAGTGTTACGGCAGCAGAAGTAGAGACTTCAACTAGCTTTCCATGTTTTTTATCGGCWGGATTACTTTATTAATTCCCTATTTTTTCCCATTATTTATTTCAATCTTGCAATTTTCCTTTCTTCACCCACTTGACTAGTTGTTATTATCATTTTATCAAGTCAATCTGTGACTAATTTCCGTCTTTCCACTTACCATGCCTTCTCATAGTGATCCGCTCTAATGAGAGATTTGGCCATGTCTGCTAATGTTCTCATTCGCTCTTCTTGTGCAATCAAAGTTTTTTCTGTGTCTTCGTGTTTCTTTAGCAACCGTTCAACGTCATCAACAGATGTCTGGGGAAATCGAGAAAATGAGAGCAATTACAGTTRAAACAAGTAATCATGAGGACAACACAAATAAGTCTTGCAAGTGAAGAAAGATTCTTTGGAAATGCACAGTGAATGCTATAATAGTCTCCTTCACGGATACCTGCGCCATCTTGAAAGGTAGCCGTGCCTTTGCACCAAAGCGAGACAACCGTTAAGCGTGCAATGATAGAAACCTGTGAATAATTGTCTATAGGTGTGAAAGAAGGTTTCTATCATTGCACGCTCAACGGTTGTCTCGCTTCGATGACAAGGCACGGCTACCTTTCAAGATGACGCAGGTAACCGTGAAGGAAACTATTAAATCGAAAGCAACCAAAGTAGAAGCATACCATTCTTTGGAKAAAGGAGTGTTATCAATGACAACAGTCAAATGCAATATCTCGTGTTTATYAAATGTTGAACTTACTCCAATATCTTCACTTGAAAGAGAGGCTTCGTGTGAAGCTGTAACTGCGTCTAACTGTTCGGCATCTCTTATAAACACCTGAGGGAAAAAACAGACGAATCTGAAAACCCAACCCTAGTACTCTTAAAAATAGGAAAAAATAAAAAGGCGCTTCAAAACTAGTTTTAGTCGAAATTGACAATATAACAATTCCGGCAGAGATAGTTATTCACCTGTAAGTCCAGAGCTTGCTGTAGTCGGTCGTTTCTTACTGCCCAACATTCGTCAAGATCACTTTTACACTCCACAAGTAACGCTACATTTTGTTTCACTTTGTTTGCACGTGGGTTGGTCTTGAGGTGTTTCTTGGCATAATCATGGAGTTGATCAAACCTAGTTAAAACGCCAATTTGGTCGATTGAATAGTTTTCTGAGATACCCAAGCCCTCCCCCAAATATTCATCTCTCTTAGCTCTTTGGTTACAGAATTTGACAAAAACTATATTTGTTCAGTTTTGATCCTATGATATTTGGCCATACCTATCGTAATGAGTTTCAATGTCTTCCAGCATTTCATTGTGTTTTTCGATCATCTTTGTAGCGGTACCGATGTCCTGTGGGTCTTCAGCGGTATTAATAGTTTGTTTCACCTCGTTTGCCCATGATAACTGTTTGAACAGACATACGGTGACATTAAAAAACTACAATATATAAATGARATGAKACCRAGAAACATACCAAATCCTTGGTATCAGCTAAAAATCCTTGCTGACCATAAGCGTCGTCCAGCAAAGCTTTTCTTTCAGCAGCTTTGGCCTAAAATACATCGATACGACTATTTCAAACAATYGAATACAGAATCCTAGATAAAAAATAAAGATCTCAGGCAAGTTTCTTGTATAACTTTGATATAACTTACCTTAAGTCCATTCCATATTCCAAGTATTTGAGTCTCTTTATTTTCAATCTGACGAGCTTGACGAGGATGTTGCCCAACAAGTCTGAGAAAATACAATTATTATTCTAAAATTAAAARTAATAATTAATATGAATATGCTCGCGTAGGCATTACAATACGTCAAAAATTAATATACAATATTATTTCCTCGTTTCATTATTAAAAGGTTTAGAGGAATTAGCTGTAGATTTACATTTGTACATGGAAAATTGTTTTGTTAGCTGACAATGAGTTACTCTCTGAACTTTTAAAAACTTACGAACGGGCTTGATCTTTAAGCTTGGTTATTTTATCTTCTACTGCAGCGAGATCTCTTTCAAATCCCTTAAATAACATTAGCATTTAATACATATASTAAAGAGATACCCCAAAAGTTTGTTACACAGTGGTGCTTTACCTGATGACGCCTTTGCAATGCTCGAACAGTYTCGATATCCCGACCAACATCCTCGTCACACAACATTCCTTCTTTCTCGTTGATCCATGCTTGCATTTCTTGACAGGAATTGTAAAACAGCTCCACCCTAAAAAAGGCATGATTAGTAAAAGATACAAACTTACTTAATACATTCACTAAACATACCCATGCTTTTCTTCAAGTTCCTCTTCTTTGATCTGTTGCAGCTGCTGCAAAGCTCCCCATCTTAAATATAACGAGAGATTCTAGTCTAYATGACATCAACTGACTTTGTGGAAGATAATTCGGAAACAAATACGTCCATTGTCTGACAAAGTCTACTCAATCTTTTATTTAAAGACGAATGAAGTTCCATTAAAGCTTAAATAAAGAGCAAATACATAAAATCTAAAAATGGTTCTCACATATGCCATATATAGCTATTTCAAAAAAGGTTGTCGGATAAAATGGCGAATGTCAATTGTCGAACGGYGATTGCACGACCGAAAGTAGTCATGGGTTTCKCTCGGTGTAATAAAATAACAACTGATTTGTACTGTAARATGGTCTCTGGTAAACRTTGGCTCCATTTAGTCTCCATTAYTATGTAAGGTGAATCCAATMAGTGAMATTTTGTTTATTAAAACAGTGTAACCRTAGTCCTTTTCGGTCGAGCAATATTCCTTCGACAATCGCCATTTGCCGTTCTCCCCAACAACGTTTTTTGAAATAGCTGTATATCAWTTGTGTATAACGTCTCTCACCTTTCGTTMAGTAATCTCCTTCTTTTCTTAACTCCAGCAGTATTGGAYCCATTATCGCTGATTAAATCATCTGCAATTCCATTTATCTCTGCCATTGACGAACTTTTAGCTGACAGTTCAGTTCCAAAACGCTATGAACGTCAAATTGATCGTTACAAGAAAGCTACTAGTTCACATGACGATGGGAATTTAAAAGAGATAACAGAAAAATGAGTGATTTGAATTAAACTTGGAGCCTTAGGTACCTCAAGTTTCTTTCGTGTTACTTGGATAATATCGTTGCTGAGATTACTATCTTTTGTGTTCAACTGTTTTTCCTTTAAAAAAGGTAAAAGATATCAATTAATTGTAGCTAAAAATTCAACCAAAACCAAAATCGAAACCAAAACCAAACTCTTTTCAGTCCCGTTTTTTTTTAACTGAAGGGCAATATAAAATGAAAGACCCACCTTGTTAGTAATCCACGTTTCCATGTCGTCACACTCGTGGTTAAAATGAAAATACTTAATCGAGTTTTCTAAGTTTCTTTGGCGAAGCTAAGGAAAAAATTTGATTCGGAAATGTAAGTGAAAACCACACCTGAATAACGATTGTGCAAGATGATAGTGATGCGGATGATGAAGATGATAGTGATGTCCCGATGATGAAATATGGTCATGGTTGAAGGCACCAATCATTTTTCAATTGATTAATTTTTTTCAATTGATTAATAATTCAATTGYAATAGTTCAATTGCAATTATCGGTGAATACTGATGTACTTACCTGGGAGAGCTCGACTAGTCGGTTGTATGTGTTCGTTAAAGTGATTTGCCGTACAGCAACATTGTCACGATCAAAATGTGCCGTAAAATGACGTCGAACTCCTTTCTGCTTGSCTAGACAAATAACAGAAAATGCAAGGATTCGTTGTTAATAGAAATGGTTTATAAAAGGGATCACTTGAAGGGTTCGATCACAAACCTCTTCGTATCGTTCTTGGTGAGTGAGCTGGAGTGACCTTCAACGGTCTTTGTCTTTGCACTTCTACAATTTTCTTGACTTTTCTTTTGACTTTAACCGTTTGAGGAACYATTACTTTTTGCTTGGTGGACTTTTTAACCAGRCATGGTTCGATTTCTTTTACGTACTTCGCAGGGACATAKCCAGCTTCTTTTGTAGTGGTACGCCTGATTGTAAAAACAATTACATACGATTAAATTAAAGCTTATAATCAATCATTATAAAGATTTACTCTAATAGATACACAAATGACGTCAAAATGTGATGAGAACAAAAAAGGACGCCATGAGACGTTGAAAAGCCTGTGCTACTAATAGTCAATAGGCTGCAACGAACTGATCCCCGACCAACCTTACACTCCACCAATCATTGTTTGTTTTGTTGATGAGAAAGAGTTTCTGTAATACAAATGAGTAAATTAATTGATGAAATAAATAAACAAATGAAGGAATGTAGAAGTGAACGAATACACAGAGGGTTACCGCACCAAGATTTACCTCTGCTTTTCGCACGGCCAGTCCCTGGCCCGAGTAGGGATATAACACTATGACTTGAGGAACTTTAACTTCTCTTATGATATCTTTAACAACTTCTTTTTCCACAACCTCTTCCACTTCTTCATCCGTTTCGACTTCCATTTCTTCGGAATAAGTTTCGTATGTTATCTCTTTTTCTTCCTTTTTTTCTTTGTTCGTTTCTCCCATTAATTTACTTTGTTCTTTTAGTTTGTCGATGTCATCGGAAAAGGAACTGATTTCCTCCTGGATCTGTTGGTGGCGTTGCAGGAGAGACTGTGGAGAGGAAAAGCGCAAGGGGTGAGGGTAAAAAGTCGAGRATGAGGGTAAATAGTCWAGGTCTTACAAATATCACCTATCTTATRTGGCRGAAATACRTTGCTTATCGAAACAAATGCAATAATTACCCCCAACAAAAAAATAAAAATCAATAAAATTCTTACAGTGGCACTTTGTTCATCATGTCCGTAATCATCACTACGAACGACGGTCATCTTTTCCGTCATCCAAGACTCGGCATCGTTGGCATCTGAATAGTACTAAGAAGACAATAGTATAGAAACTAAAATCAGTGATTAGACAGAGGGGAACTAAGTCAGGGCAACAAGAAAGATCTCAACAGACAGACAGACAGACAGACAGACAGACAGAGAAATGTAAAGATATAAAGATGACCTGATTGGCACGTGCAAGTATGGATGAATGACAGCCAAATGTCAAAGACTTTCACAAGGTGTAAAATGTTTAAAAATTCAAGATGGTGGTCCATGCATAGGAGATACGAAGGTTTTCGATTCAATAACAGCCCCAGGGAGGAAAATTCTTTCTGTACCTGAAGTGACTGCGCAGCATCTTTGAGCCTTTCTTTTCTGTTCTGAGCAAGCTCTTTAACACGAATCCAATTGGCTTGAACCTGTTTAATCTTTGCCTTGATTTCCTTGGATGCAAAATGTCCTCGGTCGATCAGGGACTGGGCTTTGGCAAAGATGACATCACAGTGCGAACATCGACCGCTCACTTCTGCTTCAAGSGCCTATATAAATAATGAATGAGAGGATGGAMTGACGCAAAGAAAGTGAAAAACAGAAAGTGAATGAGAGTGAAGAAATARTTTATCTTATTCAAACTGAATTACTAAGCAAACMAGCTAATACCTCGTGACGTTTCCTCAGTCTTGTCAGACTTGCTAAATCCTTCCCAACTTCTTTAGATGAAGCAAGCTGCTCGGTTTCTTTTATAAAMAGTTCTTCGACTTCCAAATCACTAAAGAACTGGTAGACTTTGAGAGAGTCCTCGAGTCTCGCTTTACGCTCGTTACCGAGTTGAACTARAGCCTTGGAAAGAAAATGGTTTAATTATAAAAACAGCAGCAAAAAGAGCAAGTCTTCAGCCATTGATAAAAATATCACACCTTGAAAGCTTGAGTGAGATTCGCTTGTCTTTCCTTTATKACTCTACTCTCTGGATGATTAGCTTTGATAAACTTGGACGCTTCTGCAGTAATTCGTTCAATTCTTTCTYCCTGTGCTACGATTTGGGATTCAACAAGGCTGTGTTTTTGAAGAAGATTTTCAACAGCGAGAAGGTGACGGCCATAGTCTGCTGAACGAAGTCCAGTCTAAAAACAGTTACGATTATAGTCACTGGAAACTATTGTTTTCCCCAAACATAGGTTTTTATTTTCAATGAAAATAAAAGAAAAAAAGGAAGGAAGGAATGAATAGAAAATAGAGGGTGTATAAAAGGAAAGCCATCACCTTGTTCTCTGCTTATTATATATTACTAACTACACATTTGTCGAGAGAGTAGAGGGATTGTTTTTTATACAGTGTTATGTCGGAAAACGTCCGTCATAGAGCAAGAGAAAGGAAGCACTTCACAATGCAGGAAACCTTCCTAGAAATATTGAAACTGGTCTCTTTATTAATGAGAAACCCTCAAAAGACTGCATTGTTTAAGACTTTTAAAAAGCGCCTGTATAGCCTTCACGATCTTTACCGTGATTGGCAGATTCCGCCCATCACGTGAGACAAAATGTGAAATAAGCAGCGAGTCGTGTATGTTTTATAATGATTTTTCACTGAGTCATGTCGGCACAACAACGATTGAGATTTCATCACTTTGTATCTTTTTGCTTTTTCATGTCTTTGTTAAAGACATGCTCTCCGTACCAGTGTTCTACAWCGAAAACGGGCTATTGCCGCCTTGGAGGTCCAAACGTTGTGTGTAAAACAGCTAACATATGTTACTTGGACCTAGTCGGCAAGGAAAATGTCACAGCTTTGTAAGTAGTATATCCCCCCTGGAAAATCCCGGTATCGATAACTAGACCATTTTGTGCTAAGGCTAGTTTGGAAGTATGAATTTCGCAATATTTTAGTCGAAAATTAATATAATAACATTTACAAAAAATCTCAAAGTATCATTTTAATCATTCATTTTACTTTAAAAAAAAAACGAAAAATGTTGAGATTACATAAGACCATCCAACATTGGCCGACCCCCAAAAAATTGACGGACCCAACATTTTACCGTTTGGTCGCTGATAGTATCTTCGGCTACAACATTCTGAAGCCCGTCAAACTTTTAATCAAACGCGATTCACCATTATTTTTGTTCTTTGGTTTAATGTGCAACATTTGAGGTCGCTTATTCACCCGAGAAGCTACTTGATGATCCGATCWTGTTGGATATTGTTTTATACTTTGCTCTTTATGTTTAGTGTCTCTAGTGCAAACTCTTCCGGAAAGCACTGTCCACCCGTCTCACAGTTTCTTTTCACAGATGAAATGAAACACTTGAGCTGTCATTGCATTAACAATATTTTTATTTCATTAGAGATCTTTCCTTCAATAACATAACAGATATMAAGAAGAACTCCTTTTCAGGTTTCACAAACCTACGAAATCTGTAAGTAAAAGAAAAAMGTWKTTGACAGTTCACCCAATGAGWTATAATATTTTGCAYGTGGTAAAAGCACTTCTTGTGATTTCATCAGGTCTTTAGCTTATAACAATATCACAAGACTGGAMTACGGAGTGTTTTGTGGTTTGGATCATCTGGCAGTACTGTAAGTTCATCATGATACAGATGTTTCAGACGAATAGTTTTCATGACTGAAGTGCATTGTCTAGGTCATTCTTTATTTTCTCCTTTTCAACTTTCGTTCATTTCCCAATATCTTCTCTCATTCATTTATTCATTCATTTTTTTCCGTTTTTTTCCCTTCTAAAATAATTATTCTTCATTTTTTGTCTTAGTCACGGTAGMAATCATAAATGTGTTTGTGCAACGTTTTACTACCACCCAATGCCATTTAATTAAACGTATCCAATCTGACCCGTGTATGGTTTCCATAGTCCATGGCAGTGCAGTGAAAGTTACTGTTGATCACCATTTCATTTATCACACACAGAAACTTGACGATGAATCCCCTTGTCACCATGTCCGGCAATCTTTCGGGTTTGCTTCCTTCTTTGTCAACYATCGACGCCACAGGCATGTTACACTGGAAACCAGACAGGCAAATATTTCAACTGCATAAGCTCCGAGAAATTATTGGATGGACACATTCGCCAAGATGTAGGAATTGCTTGTTGTATCGAAGTAATGTCTCATTGGTATTCAGCACGGTGCATGTCTCTAAGCATGCGGGCTGCCAAATCTTCCATCGATTGATCAACAATCACTCCCTATTCGTACAAATGCTGAATAACACACAATTCCAGTTTCGCTGCGAAACAAGAAGCTGCTTAAAGAGCTTATACWTAGATAAATTAGTTGCTATACACCATCCGTGCTGGAMAACCTCCCTGCTTGTGATCAATTGCCAGTCTAGTTTAGGTTTCTTCGCGTGCTTTACTAATCTATTGGTATTTCTGACTATTTTGAGCTCGAAGAGTCTTCGTAGTAACACATCAATGCGACTAGTATGCAATATGGCATTTAGCGACTTCCTCATGGGTATATATATCATTGCTATTACCATCTATTTCAACAATTTTTCATTATTAGAAATGTATCATGAATCGGATCGAAATTGTTGGAAGGTGGGTTTCCTGTGGACGCTTAGTCAATCGTGTTCTACCATTACTACATTTCTTTTAACATTAGAGAGATATTTCGCAATTGTCTATAGCCTAAGGCCGGATATAAGAATCAGAGGCCGCACGGCTGTTGCTTTGATTGGRGCGTGCTGGGTTGTGGCGACAATTATAACCGGCTATTCATTGTATTATAATTTCTACAAGTACAATTTCTACTGCATTCCAATTCGTTTTGAAAGTTTCCACGTCCATATATTTACATTTACTTTAATCGTAGGCAYTTTGGGATTGCTCTTCTATTTGATGAGCTTTCTTCTGTACATTCATATTTACAAATCTGCAAAGCGAGCAGCTCATAACGCTGGAGTAAAACGAGAGTCAAAGCTCGCTAAAAGAATAGCGCTAGTAGTATTCAGTAATATGTTATTTTTCTTTCTACCTGTAYTTGTCTTAGGAGTTGTGAATTACTTCCTAGATACAATCACCACGTACAATGAGAACAATTTTCGCTACTTTCTTCTGTATGTTTTCCCTATTTTG